GGTGGCCCAAAAGCCCTTTCCTGTGGGCTGGGAGCAGTGGGAGGGATGGTGGCCGGGAAGCCCCTTCCTCTGGGCCAGGAGTGGCGGAACAGAAGGTGGCCCAAAAGCCCTTTCCTGTGGGCTGGGAGCAGCGGGAGGGATGGTGGCCAGGAAACCCCTTCCTCTGGACAAGGAGCAGTGGGATGGTGGCTCAGAAGCCCCTACCTCTGGACCAGGAGCAGCGGGACTCAGTACCATGGTCTGGTGGTCCAGTGTCCTCTGCGTCTTTGTAGTGTGGAACCAGGTGGCTGCCTGTCTGCAGCAGGCTGATTTAGCATGTTCCCCAGCAGCAATTTATTGTCTCACAGTTCTGGAGGCTGGAGGTCCAAGATCATGTGCAGCAGGTTGGGTTCTTCTGAGGCCTGTCTCTCTTCAGCTGACAGCAGCTGACTTCTCCCTGTTTTCTCAGGTAGTCCTCCTCTGTGTCAGTCTGTGTCCTGTTCTTCTCTTCTTATAACACAATGTACCAGTTGTGCTGAATGAGGACCCATCCTAATGATCTCATTTTAACTAAATTATCTCTTTAAAAGTCCTATTTCCAAACATGATCACCTTCTAATATTCTAGGGGTTAGGACCTCAACATGTGAATTTGGAGGAAGCATAATTCAGCCTATCACAGACTACATGTTCATCATTTGGGTCTAAGCCTTTGTCTGGGTCTGGAAAGTCAAGAAAGATAAAGAGTGATTCAATGTTGCTAATTGAGTTACTGCTTTTATTAAAACTGCACAGGTTTAAAAAAGTAATCACATTTTTTTATGGCAAATATCTGACACTCCATCTGCCTTTTAGACTGGGTTAACTATACATGGCCTTGCAAAGAGATTTCTTTCATCTAAATAAAGTTAACTGGTGTAAGATTGGATTTGAAAGGAAGAAGAAAACCATCTTGTATTTAAAGTACTACTTCAAGGTTGAAGATAGGTCACTTGAATAGCTGGGTTTTGTGTCTTCCTTTGGCAGTAAACCATCCATTTCCTAACCATCACCATCCTGCACAATTTTACATTTTCTTTCTCAAAGATTCTGCTTTAAAATATTGATTTCTTTTAAATGTTTCAAACAAGATTTTGTAGAGCTGCTAACTGCTTTCATAGTTTTATGCTTTTTATTGACTGTTTTAAACTTGATATTTATGCCTTAAGGCATATTACTAAGAAGAGCATCATTTCATAAATTGAAGTAAGAAAAAGATAAGGGGTAGATGATCAGAGAAATCAGATCCTGAGTCACTGGAGTGAGGATGCCTCTATTCCTGTAGCAATTTATTTCTCCAAAGGATAAGCATCTAATCTGAGCTGTACCTTTGAAATCTGTATTTTTCTCCATGAGACAATTCTTTCCTCTTCCATTGCTTCTCTGCAGCCTAAAACTGTATTTGCCAGATAGTCTCTGGGTACATCTCCCCATAGATACACCTATAAAGGTTACCTCCATGTCCTCTGCAAAACCTGCAAAACCTGCCCTCCCGCACAGAGCAGATCTGGAGTCATCATCACTAGGTAACCTGTCAACATAGTATCATTTCATCCTGAATGTAAGAGCATTTTCAGATGTATGCATTCACTCTAGTAAAGAGCAATGGAGAAACAGAGTTTTAAGACAAATGGAAAAATCCAAGCTTTTTCACTATCCATTGTAAAACAACTTTCTGCACGGTTACTAAAAACAAAGGATTAATGCAGTGAAATATGTAACACCAAAAAACTGGCAAGAATCAATTTTTTTCTCCATTGTTTTCGTTATGGTAAAAGATACACAAAATAAAATTTACCATCTTAACCATTTTAAGCACACATTTCAGTAGTATCAAATATATTCATAACATTGAGTGGCCATCACCTCCATCCATTTCCAGATCACTTTTCATAATGTAAAACAGAAATTCAATACACATGAAACAAAACACCCCATTACCTCCTCCCTATAGTCCTGGTAACAACCAAGAATCGACATGCTTTAAAAAGGGGCAATGAGTAAGCAAATCATGGTATATATAACTGCATCTTATATTGTACAGAAATTAAAAATAAAAAATTATAAATAATTTAAATGATGAAGGAAACTACTTTTGATGGAATATTAGGTATAAATGAGAGCTATAAAAGTGAAATGCCTTATCTTTTTGTAAAAATTATATGGGGAAAACATATATTTCTATATGTTCCTAAGTTTATACATGTGGTTGTAATGACTTTTATTGTTATAAAACTCAGGGGTTTTTTTAGAAAAGTACTCTCCTCCATATTTCACTCCTTTTAAATAATCACTTGGCAGGAGAGGTACCTGCATATCATTGCTACAGCTTTGATGCATTTTGGAAGGAAAAGCAATCAATCTTGTGCAGGCTCTGGAGAGGGGGAGAGATTGATGGCGCTGGCACAGGCAGGGCATCTGTTGGCATGTTTCATCATCTTACAGCAGCCATAGAACACACCCAGGGACAAGCTTTAAAAGCCCAAAGTTAGGAGGGAAATTTGAAAGTCACACAACTGATCAAATTACATGATCCACGTCATTGCAGAGCAAATGTTTAGAAGTGATTTCCAGAAGTGGCACAGAAAATGACCAAGCTGTGACTCAGTGAGTTTAAATGTGTGTTATAGGGATCTGACCACATGGCCCCAAAGATCTATATTATTACTAATAACCAAATGCTGATTACTCTTGACATCAACAGGAAAATTCTGGGAATTGCCAGCTCAATGTACAAAGCAAGTGGGAAAGAGAGGAAGCTGGTATCTTTCTTTTATTAAGAGCAGTAATCCATCCCCCACTCCCATGACTCAACTCCTTCCCCTCCCAGCCATCTCCTCCCAGCCTCCATTCTCAATAACCTCCTGTTCCTCCTACTCATTTTCCTCCCTGAACCTGGATCTTCGCTCCTGCTCCCAAGGAACAAATCAATTATAACCACACATATTTATATCCTTAGATGGTGAGGTTGGTGTTTCCATATAGAGAGGGCTTTGAAGATCAATAACTAAATCTCAGGACCCAAAATAGCATCCATTCTCCATCTTGCAGAATTTGGGGCCTGGGGTACTTTATTAATTCAGGGCCATGTAGAGCTTTACTAAATGCAGAACAAAATCAAAGTAATACCTGAGACAAGGACTTTGAGAGAACAATTCATATAATTTTCCTTTCTATTAGAATTACAAAGGTTGGCAGTAGAATATCCATTTGTGACAGACGGAAGATGTGTTATAAACTATGATGTCTGGTACAGGTCTTTCACATGACAAAGTCCACGATCTAAAGTTCTGTTAGCTGGACAAGCGTACCTCTATGACAATCATTAAAAGAAGTTAAGAACAGAAACTTCAGATCCAGAGTTGACCTGTGATGAGTTAGCTATTAACCATGATGTAGAAAGTTTTTTGTCCTCTAGAATCTGAAACATTGTATTATATAAATATGACCTCTAATTCTTTTCCTTCTTTCATACCACTGACACTTTTTTTAGTTAAAAGGACCTATACTAGCTTGCTAGACTCCAAAGTACTTCTTTCTGACCTTCAAAATGCTATATGGTCCAATATTCTCTCTCTCTCTCTCTCTCTCTCTCTCTCTCTCTCTCTATTATTTTCTCTAACAAATTGACTTTGGCATAAAGTTGATATCAATCACCATGTTCTCCTGTTATTCTGAGAACTTACACATCGTTGGTAAAGATTACTAAAGAATTATTAAACACATGTATTGCATACTTCATACAACAATTCTTCATCATTGTTGGTTAGATTTTCTGCTGTATTAATTCAGTTTGTGACTAAACAAAATAAAATGCAAACATATCACAAGTTGGCCAGCAATCACATTTTATAGTTGGATGCATTTTGCTGACCACTCTTGAAGTCACAAATATATATTACCTTGGTGAAGTCAGATTTCCTCTCTGTAACACCAGACTGGAGATTTCTAAGGGAAATTTGATCTTTTGTGCTGTAATGGTTGTCCTGTAATCCTAGACAAAAGGAGATAATATTGCTACTTTTAGTACATGAAAGGATAAAATGGAATATATAACTTTAACTTTATTATAAAATTTAATATCCCCTATTCATGTTATACTACCCAATAGTGAATTCAGTGTATTTCAACCAATGATAAAAACCTTTTATTTTCCCTTGTTTATTCAACCCCACTCCATTTATATTGAGTCCATTATTATTTAGTTTATGAGGCTTCAAGATTCTTTCTTCCATACAGTTGTTTATGTCCCTTAGAATCAGTAATAATTGAACAAATACAGCCTTATCATGTTCTCCTGTATCTTCAGTTTACACTTAGCAAAAGAGAAAATCATATCTATGGATTTCGCAGCACAAACACAGTTGAGAAAAGTGGAAATACAAGACAGACTTTCATCCAGTCTCTTAATACAAGTATTACTGGAGGGCAATGGAAGACACGGATACTGATATTAAAACTGTTTTAGAATATCTGAGGTTAATTTGAGATAATATTATAAGACACTATGTATATAATCCTTAATATGGGCCTTTTCATGAGTACTGGCCACAAGGGCAGCTAAGAATAATGTCAGGTCTAAGAGCACACAATGATGGATATGCCTACAGAAATACCTAGCCTAAATTTCCTCATTCACTAAAGCTGCCTTACACTGAGCCCTAAGTAGATTGCTCTCAAGGGAAAAGCATTCTTGGATGTGAGCTGGGAGACTTTCAAAGTCTGCCCGGGGCCTTAGACAGAACTGAGATCACCTTAGCTGTAGGCTTTCAGCACCAACAACCCCAAAGTTCTTTCACAGTGACCTTATCAGGCTACTCATGCGAGTGACTAAAACAGGGTGAGCATGTCGGGGAGGAGTCCAAGCAAGCCAAGCCAGATGCCCAGACTTTGCAGCCCAAGGTAACAATCTTGCTCCCCTATTTGCCCCCAAATTCTGGGGAAAGTGATCTTTCGAGAGACTACCACAAATGGTCCCCCAACTGCTGGTGCTGGTGATGAGAAAGAAGAGATTTCAGAAAGTGACTGTCTAAATCAGAGCCTACATTGGAATGATTCAAAATTTTAGATATAATTTAAAGAATTTTACGGAGCAAATGATATCCTACAGTATTTTCAAGTTTGGCAGATTTGCAAAGGGGTCAGAATGTGGCTGAGAGAATTTTAAGGGCCATCAATAACTGGTCCAAAGTATAGCTCTGTCTCAGATTGTCCTCAGGTGACAATGATCCTCCATTGGCGCTAACCTGATGTGTGGCTATGGTTCAATCTATGACTGTGACTGAGTGACAGGGATGGTTATCTGAGATAATGTGCACGGATTACTTTTTGTGAAGCACAAATATAAGACCTGAAAGGTCTCATGGATTTCTGTGCAGAGTTGATGCATCATGATGAACTGACAATAAAGCTGATGAAGAGAGAAATGAGCTGGCTCTACCTGTGTGGCATTGTACTTAAGAACTTTAGAAGCAACCCAGCCATTGGACCCAGATAGGTCTGGGTCTGATCCAGCTCAGCCCTAGGCTGACTTGTAGTAGCTCATACCCTCTCTGAGGTTCTTCATCTATAAAATGCAGACAATAGCACCTCTTCAAAGCTGCTATTGTTGCCCTCAATGCACTGAGGAAATCATATGTAAAGCCCTTGGGGGTTCTTAGTTTATAAATGGTACCAGTTGCAGTTGTTAACATGCATGCATTCCTCCCAAGGTCCAAGTGATCACTAATCCTGTGGCTTCAGTAGCCCCAAAACCACTGGAAAAGGACCACACAGTCCCAGAGCCTGAACCTCAGCTCTGGCTATACAAATGGTTTCAGGCAAGTTACGCACTGTCCTCCTATTTCTCACTGTGAAATCTGTGAAATGGAGATAATAATAGTGTCTATTCAGTAGGTTACTGAAAAAGATTAAGTGATGCAACTAACTAGCCCTTAGTGTGATGCCAGGAACACAACACCATGCAATAAATACTAGCTATTGGGAAGTGTCTCATCTCTAGCAGGAAAGAGAGAGAACTGCCATGGTTAGGTGAGCAGGGGCTATGTGTAGGTTTCCTGTGGCGGCTGTAACAAAGGACCACAATACAAGTGCATCATTCTATAGTTCTGGGAGAGTCTAACATGGGTCTCACTGGGCTAAAATCAACGTGTCAGCAAGGTTGCATTCATTTACAAAGTTTCTAAGGGAGAATTCTTTTCCTAGCCTCTCCCAGCTTCTAGAGACCACTAGCATTTCCCCAGCTCGAGGCCCTGCAGTACTCCAGCCTCTGCATCCACCATCACATCCTCTTCTCTGGACTCTGCCCTCCTGCTTAATGGGACCCTTGGATTAGAATGGGCCCACCTGGATAATCCAGGGTAATCCCATCCCAAGGTTAGTGGCTCAATCATATCTGCCCTTTTGCCATATAAATCCACATATTCATAGGTTCCTGGGATTAGGACAAGGACATCTTTGGGGATATTATTATTTTATCCACCACAGACTAGATTCCATGAAACATAGGGCCTTTTAAATAATGAATATGAAGTCTATGTAATACTGAATACTATGGAAAAACATTTACAGTGCAACATTTATCAAAAGCAAGGAATTTAAAGGCTATGAACCACATGAAGGTAACGTTAGAGAAAGTGTGGAGGAAGTCTACAAAAGCAGTCAGGTAGTAACCACACTAAGAAATCACCCTGGTTACAGGAATTGGCTAAGCATGTGCAGGCCCTAAGCTAATGTAGGATATAAGGCCTTGTCTTTGGGACTGAGAGCCTGAGTTCAAACTCTAGCTGTGTGGCATGGCATAATTTATTTAGCCTCATTGATTCTGGTTTCCCTATGAATGAAATCAGAGTAAGAAAATGACACTATGCTCTTCTCAGTTTCTCTACTGAGGGGCCACCACATGCCCCTGATGTTAGGAAGGCATTGTAAATAGTTCAAAGCTTCTTCATTTCTGAAAATTATTCTTCCTGTTGGGTCACAGCCAATGTGACTATTATTGACACAAAAGTCCCAGACACCTCTGTTATTCGTGCTGTAGTACAGAGCATAAACTGAAGGTGGGACTGTACCTCAGACATCCTCCTGGCTTGGCTCTTCCTCTTTCCTCTCTTGCCCATGGGTCCTTTCCTGAAAAGGACCCCCACTGCCACATGCTCTCAATCCCCGTCTCGGGCTCTGCTTCTTGAAGAACAACTAGAGCTGGTACTGCCTCCCGGTGCTGCCTTACAGCAGGGCTCTCAAAAAGTTGTCAGAGAGCAGCACCAACATCATAGAAGAATGTGAGAGAAACCCATATTCTTGGGTCCCAACAACTAATCCAAAAACTTACTGAGTGAGGACCCTGGGTAGTGCTAGGCCATCTACACTTAGCCTTCTGAGATGTTTAGGAAAGCTCAAGTTCAGCACACCTGCTGACCTTAGACCAACACACCCCTTTACATATGGGGAGTCTGAAGGCCCAGAAAGGAATCATATAGCTTTGATTCCAAAACCACCCCAAGACTTCTAGATAACCATACCTAGTCTATTGTCATGGGGATCAAAATAAGACTTCAGTTAGAACAAAACTGTCATAAAAGCCAGCATGATGACTTTTGTTTTGAAAGCCCACTCATTTCGGGTGCCACTGTCATTGCTAATTCCCAAGGTGCTTGAGTTGGGTGTCCATCTCTCTGGCCCTCTATGCCTGCAGAGTGGGTCTTCTTACTAATATACAAAGAGGTTTCTCTCCTAAAACGCTTGGAAGGATTGTCCTTTTGTCTCCAGTGGCCAGAACCACACACCCAAAGTCATTCTGCCTTTGAGCTCCATCCCAGAGACACATAGAACAATGGAACCCAGCTGGGCAGGAATTTGTGCAGCCCTCAGGACATGCTAGGTCCTGGGCTAAGAGGCAAAGTGGGAGAGATGTTCTCTCTTTCCAGGAACTCTAAGACAAAGTCACATCTTTGTGGTCTCCAGCCTCAAAAGGCCTCCAAGAACTCTTCCAGCTGAGGGCATCCAGAAATTAGCAGGTAAGGGGAAGGACCTTAAAATGACCTTGTCCAATGGAATGGATTTAGACAAAAGTGGAAGTAGGTAGGGAAGAAGGCAGCACAGCCAAGGCAGATGTCAAAGGGAAAGGTGGAAATGGCTTAGGATAAAGTGTAAAAGCAGGAAAACCCAGCATATCTGGAGAAGACCAAGTAGCCCACTGGGGAAGTGTAGGTCAAAGAGTCATAGCCAATGGCTGCGAGTTGTCCAACACCACTTGAGCTGTCTCTACAGAAACAGCAGACAAGTACCTTCATGCATTGCCTAATGAATCAGTCCATCAAAGTAACATGCAAAAGATGCACACTGGCCTGTGGTTTGTTTGGTGAGCTTACTTCCCTCCATATCTACATCAGTCGTGCCCAAAGCAGAGAGATGCATTCAAATTTCCACTTAATGGCTTTTAAATGCCTTCCTTCACATCTAGTTTTATAGGCATCAAGGATTACTCTGTATTTCCAAGATACCTTTAACAATATCTCTTTTTACTATTTGAAAACAGATGTTTCTCAGACACACTGTATTTTGAAATTTAGATTTGACTAATAATCCCTGTGATATTTGATGTTATTGACTACTCAGTCCCTCTGGAAATTCTTTCCATCTTTGACTTCTGCAAAAATGTGGTCTCTCTCTCTTTCTCTTTCTTTCTTTCTCTCTCTCTCTTTATTCCTTCCTTCCTTCCTTCTTTCCTTCCTTTCTTTCTTGACAGGGTCTTGCTAAGTAGTCCAAGCTGGCCTTGAACTCACTATGTAGCCCAGGCTGGAATTGAATTCATGATGACTCTCCTGCTTCAGCCTCCCAAGTACTGGGATTACAGGTGTGTGCCATCAAATCTGGCTCTTCCTGCTGTATTCTTATCACTCAGCTGGTGTGTCCTACTTTCTTTTGTAGGTTCCATCTCTGATGCCCTCAATTCTCCCTCTGCCTCTTACCAAACCTGTAAAGACCCATTTGGCCAAGAAAGGGCCCAGCTCACCTCTGAGCACGATCCTCAGGTTCAGCTGCCTCCAAATCACCTCCAGTGCATCCTTTCCAAAAGGAAACCAGCCAACTCCTCCATAGCCCCTCTTCTTTCTTCTCCTAATCCATCCCCTTGGTGACAATCCCTCCTTTTCCCTCATCTCCAGTGTCCATCTAAAAGCCAAGGCCTCTGCTCCATTGCGTTAGTTTAATCTCTCTGGGCTGCTGTTTTGACAAGGAAACAATCAGGCTGGTGATCCCACCACCTTCATCTACTGGCAGTCCATCAAATCTCTTTGACATGGCCAGTTTGTGACACTGTGGGGACCATATGCTCCTTCAAAAACTCTTATGCATGAGAAACATTTCTTCCCCAGAAGGGGCCTCGGAAACATACAAAATCTGAGTACATAGGAAAGGGATTCCCGGAGCCCAGGATAGGAATCATTAAACCAAGCCTACTTCTACTTCTGGAGTATGGACAGTTTGACCATCTCTGTAGCCTTGATTATGGTTGCTGCCTTCTCAACTGTCTCACAAGGCTAACTCCTAACTCCTCACCCTTGATACACCATGAGGTCACCTCCTCTTAGAAGACCTTCCTGATCCACCCCTGCCCACACACCATGCCCCACTCCCCCAAGCTATAGTGGTGCCTCTTGGTGTCCCAGGGCTACCAGAACAAACTGCCACAGAGCGGGTGTCTTACAGCAACAAGAATGTATTCTCTCAGAGTTCTAGAGGCAGAAGGTTTGAAATCAAGGTGTTGGCATGGCCACAGTCCCTCTGAGGCTCTAGTGGAGGGTTCTGCTTGCCCTTTCCATTGTCTGGTAGCTGCTGGAAATCCTTACCCTTCCTTGGCCTGTGGCTGCCTCTGATCATTGCCTGTGCCTTCCCTGTGGGCACAGGCCTCCAAACCTCTCTCCTTAGAGATGCCAGGCTTTGGATTTGGGGCCCAACCTAATCCGGTATGACTTCCTTTTAACTTCACTATGCAGGCAAAGACCTCACTTCCCCTCAAAGTCACAGTCATGGGTCTCAAGGATTAGGCCTTGAACATCTTTTGGGGAAAGATAATTCAACCCATGATAGTGCCCCCTAGCACTATTATTCTGTACCATAAGCATCTGCTCACCAGTCTGTCTCTGAAAACTGACAGGTCTTCAGAGGACATCTGATTCATCTCTTTTGCTAGTGCTGAGCACAGTACCCAGCCAGCTGGAAATACTTACTAAGGGCAGACTGAATGAATACATTATTTATATTTTGATTATCTGTGGGCAAAAAAAATCAGAACATACCTTCCTCAGACAGTTTGATAATAGTCCACTGACGTTTCAAAGCCATTTTATACAGTTTCAAAGTCTTTTTAATGACAATGATGTGTCACGCTAAATGAAAGAAAAAATAGTCATAGTTCACATCTATGGAGTTTACATCTCTCAGGATGAGTCAACCTTCTGCCCTGGGCCAAAAAACCTCAAAGCCCTCTAGGTGTGAAGTCACCGGAATGTTTACTCGGCAACCGGGGGAAGGCCTCGCACGGCCACCTCAGGTGACATTTCTGGTTAGAAAAAGAGCAGCCACCACTTTGATGCTCATATCTGAGGCTTCTTTCACAAGTAAAGCAAGTTCATGTGAGCATTAAAGTTCTGCAGAGTGCTGTTAGATTTGAGACAAAAAACTGTTTTATGCACTGCCTATAGTGGGATAAACATTTCTTTCTTCCCAAGCTCTCTGTAGTTTTTTTAAAAATTTCACTCTAGTTGATGATGCTGATTCTCATGCCAAGCTATATTTCAGTTGGTCTAAATGTTTCTGCATATATATATATATATATATATATATATATATATATATATACCGGAGAACACCATGCGTTAATTTATTTAACTTACTTGGGACTAAGGTTTGCAAACAGATTTGCTTAGAATCTGGCAATATAACTATTGATTACCATGAAATATATTACTGTATACTGATCAGTTTTCATGTAATCTCATAAAATACCGTTGACACTAAATTATAACTAACACTGTCCTATAATTTATAGCAAACTAAATTTGAGGTTGCTTATACAGTAGCCGCCCTTATCTTCAGGGGATATGTTCCAAGACCCCAAGTGGATGCCTGAAACTGAACAGTACTAAATTGTATATATACTATATTTTTTTCTCATACATGCAGACTTATGATAAAATCTACTTTATTATTAGGCACAGTGAGAGATTAAAACAATAATGACAAAATAGAACAATCATAGGAATATACTATCATAAAATTTTTTAAACTTATGACTTATTTATTTCTGGAATTTGTTATTTAATATTTTTGAGCTGTGATTGACCGTAGATAACAAATCACAGAAAGTGAAACTGTAGATAATGGGGACTACTTGGTTAAGGACACTAAAAAACTGTTGTTGTTTTTTTAAAGCTATTGATGACTTGGGTGAACCAGAAAGCTTGTGTTAAGATAGCCCTGGTGTAGATGAATCACAGCTCAAGGGTGAGATTCCAACAGCCAAAGCCAAAAAGGACCTGTGACCAACTTCATAACTTGGCCTTCAAATGAACTGTACCACTTCATAAAGTTATCCCTGGGATAAGGCATCAACAGCATAGGTCATTATATAAATGGGTAATACCTCTGTGAGAAGTTTCATAAGCACTAGACCAGTGTGATGTCACTGGCTGACTCTAAAGTACTTGGCATCTGGTCAGTATCACTATCAGGTCAGATCACTAAAATTTAGGGCATATTGACTGAGAGACAGACATTGGCTGAGCAATGTCTGAGCACTGTCTCCTCCCATACCTGTGGCCTTCTGAGAAGGGTACTATTGTCACCCATTGATGAGGATACTGAGCTTCATTTAAGTGATTTGCCAAATGTCACCCTTCAAAAATCCCAGAGCTGAGAGTTTGCCATATTGATAGTCCCAGAACCTGCAGATAGAATCAGGGTGGCTTGGGTATTGGTGTCTAGCTCAAGGGACATGTGGTACTACCACATTCTAACACTGTCACCTTGGAATAGCCACTTGACTCTGGCCTCTACTGCCTTTTCTGGGAAGAATGAAGAGTAACATATGCTGTGTAGGATTGGGAGCTATTGAGTGAAGCAAATAAAGATTGTCATGGGCTCGACAAGATGCTGCCGTGTGATGGGCCCTCCAAAAACTGCAATGTGTTGTTATCCACAGTTTTACATATGATTTCCTTCTGTGTCAGAAAATTGTGACACATAATAAAGATGTTTTAAAAGCCTGTCCACTGAATTTTGTTATGCTGGGAAGAGTCTAGATAGGCAGCAAGATCACTGCGTCGCAGACTCCACCTGGCCATTCAGCTGAAACCTTAATCAGACAGATCCCTCTTTAGGGATCAGTGTTCCCATCTGTGACATGAAGAGAGAGCATGGGCCTGTGAGGTCTAACTCTGCCATAGCATCATGTGTTGCTGTGGCCTGGCTGGGAGACATAGGGGTCACTTGAGAGAGGCTGCACAAGAGAGGGAAGTGGTCTACACTTGAACTTTGTCTTTTTATTAAGTGGAAAACTGCATCATCTGTATCATGATGCACTCTCCTCTTTGTTTGACTTGCTGAACAAGATCATTATTACATCTTATTGAAGGTCTTAGAGCAGTTTTATTTCAGAGGTGACCATTTCCACCCTTCTAAGCAGAAACTGGCAGAAAACTGGAACCTTCTTTTGGACAATGGTGTCCAAAAAGAAGAGTCATCCTCTAGCTTCAGCTTAAATGAAATGCAAGGTACAACTGAATCCCAATTACCAGTCTCATTACCCAGGAAAGTTTCTATAGGACAAGCAAGGATGATTATTTGATTTTTAGTTCAGGCTAGAGGAAACCAACACATGTGGAAGAAAAATGGGGCATCTTTGAAATTCTTGCAGAAGAGGACCCAAGTGGCACTAGCCTATCTGCAAAGCCACACATTCCAGTGAGACCCAAAGAACTTGGAGATTTGAGGTTCCTTATGGACACAAGACACAGAAAATATTTTCATAAGATGTCAGAATGGCTTTCCTCTCCTTCACAAGGAGCAATGTGACACTTTTTGTGGGACTATGTGGCTTTCTTTTGCACCCGTTCAGCTGAATTGGCCAGAGTGGCAAGTGTGGAGCCCACAGAGATGATTATAGGCTCTGCCATGAGCTAGACAGATGAGGTTGGTGCAACATCTGAAAGTCTAGAGTCATAAATCTCTCATTATGAGAGCCATTAACTGCTCACTGCACATCAGGGGGCTAGGAAGAGATTACTGGCACTGGACCAGATCCAAAAGCCCAGCAGCATCAAAGGAAACATCCAGGCTGGAGATGCCCGCCCACACTCCTGCCTTTACCCAGTATCCCTGATCAGAAACCCAGATAGGTTGCTCTACAGATTCCCCAACAACTTATCCACTTTGCTGTCCAAGATAGTTAGAACAAGGTTGCTTTTCTCGGCTGGTAGTTTTCATTCTGAGCATTCCCTGTCCTCTGCTTCTCCTTTTGCAGCATGAAAGAAAAACTGTCCCCTTTGATATGTAGGCATGCAAGAATCTAAAACTTTGCAAATTACCCACTTGTACACAACATCCACCGTGCAAAGAAGGAAGCAGAGGCCAGAGAGGAGCAGTAAGGATGTAGCCAGGGTAGGCTCACTTGCTCAAGCCTGATAAAGGTCTTGGTCCTAGAACTCTGTCAGTCGAGTTCTCTTCTAAGCACACCCTTTCCTGCTGGGCTGAGCATTTCTCTCTCTCCAATTGATTACTTGTATTTTTAAAATAATAGCTGTATTGAGATGCTATTATTTACATGTTATAAAGTTTACTTTTTGAAAGGCTACAATTCAGTGATTCCAGAACGTTTTCATCATCCCCCAAATAAGTTCCATATATATTAGTGATTATTCCCCATGCCAGTCTCTAGTATCCACTGATATTCATTCTCTCTCTCTCTCTCTCTCTCTCTCTCTCTCTCTCTCTCTCTCTCTCTGGATTTGCCTAAGCTGGACATTACATATCATGGAATAATATATGTGGCCTTTTGTGTTTGGCTCCTTTCACTTAGCATCATGTTTACAAGGTTTATCCATGTTATAGCATACGTCAGGACTTTGTTCTCTTTCAGAGTCAAAATATTTTATATATGGACAAAACATATATTGTACCCTTATTCATCAGCTGCTGGACATTTGGATTGTTTCCATTTCTTGATTATAACGAATAATGTTACCATAAACATCTGTGTTCAAGTTTTTGCATGAACATTTACCTGTATACCTAAGAGTAAAATTGCTGGAGTGTGTGCTAACACCATGATTAAGTTTTTGAAGAATTGCCAAACTGTTTTCCAAAGTGACTGTGCTGTTCTACATTGCCAGTAGCTGTATAAGAAGGTTCCATTTTTTTTCTCTATCCTTGCCAACATTTGTTATTTTCTATACTTTTATTATAACCATCCCAGTGGCTATAAATTGCTCTCATTGTGGTTTTCATGTGCATTTCCTTAATTTTTAACAATGGTGAGCATCTTTTCATGTACTTATCAGCCATTTGTGGATCTGCCTTGAAGGAAAAATT